CAATGACCATCACGGGGATCTACTACCCCTTGGACATTCAGGATGCCCATCTCGGGGATCTACTACCCCTTGGGTAAAGTCCAACATGGGGGAACCACGACCCCCTGAGGACATATAATTATATCATAATCATAATGCTGTAATAGTGAGTCTGTGGGGTGACACCATGGCCACAGTTTAAAGTATAATCGGAGCATTTCCCCCCAGCAACCCTTCTCCCACAACATTCTGTGTGTGTGTCTTAATTGGTTTTTAATGGTCTCTGAATATTCGCTTAACGAATTGGTGCATTAAAGCAAGTTTATACATGCCCTTAGCAGAATCTTCTTTTACGTGCGTTACTAAATTAAGTTCTAGTCAGCGATAACACTCCTCAGATCGTTCGTGCCTGCATGTAGGATTTATTTTTTAACTTGTCGGGTGACTTCCTCGGAAATGGCTTGACGAAATCTTCCATATAAGATGTCGTGGCCGTATAGGGAACGGCTGCAGGATAAAATAATGCTCGGAATGTCACTCACATTTGTACCAATAATATTCTTGACAATAGACTCATCGGCGATGCTTCTTTGATGGACTCGTCGGTTGGAGAGCAGTTGAAACAGACAAGTTTGATTCGGATTTCATGCCCTTCCTTTTTTACGGCGCTTCTGTTTGCTAACTGTTTAATGTGGAAATCTTTTTCTGTATTAGATATTGAGTGGTTGATCAGAAGATGCCCGCTTGGCTTGGATGGTTTCGTATACTAATTCAGAATCAGACTCAATCTCTATTTGGGGACGATCTTTAAAATAATTTCCAGAGTCTATTTGTAACAGTTTAATTCTGCTCTTTTCGTTTTCAACATCCTTAATTTTCGTGTGTAAATTGGACACAGTATAAGTTTAGTTGTATTTCTTTCACGAAATTCGTTTTTTAGCATTTAGCTTAACGATTTTCTCTTGAAGGCACGTAATACAATCATCTGACGATTTGACTTGTTTGAGGTTCGCGATTTCCGAGGAAAGAGCATTGATAATCGTAACGGTTGAAATTACAAATTTTTCTATACTTGCTCTGAACTCATCATATGTTGATTTACTTGACTGAACACTTTTTTCGCTTAGTATTATGGGAGTGATAAAGTCGATCGTTGTATGCAAATTGTGAGTAACTGTACATGAACCTGAATTCTCGCTTATTTCCCTCCCGTTTTGAGCGATTATATACGTTTATCCTGCACATCGTTAGTTCTTAGAGTTATTGCCCCGTCGCCAAATACTCAGATTCACAAAGTTTAGTTCCACCTCCTGGCAAAGTCCATTTCACTGTCGTCATTTGATTGAATTCAACGAAGTCTTTAAGATTTTCAAAGGTGCCTTTCCATTTCATATTTCCTTTATCTGTAAACTTATTATTTGTAAGATGCAGGATTCGAACTTACAAATTACAATATTACTAAGGAGATCTTGAATCGACTCCAAACAACTTTCAACAGAGCTACTGTAATTTCATGATCACTCATTTCATGCCATCTTTGACGACCAAAGACTAATGATAGGTCTTTATTGGTTTCCGTTGCAATTCTATCTAACACGATGGCAATCATGGCATGGTCAGTTTGGTTGTCTCTCAATTTCAGATGTCTGCATCTCGTTGTAAGGCGCAATATGACGGGACATATAATCTGTCACATTCTGTTTGCCAGGGACGTAAAACATGGTAAATTCTAGGTTGTGCATTTCATAACAGGCCAGTCGATTCTTGGTGGTAGTTTTTCTTGAGGGTTATTGAATAGTGGTAAAAGAGGTTTATGATCGGTGGCGATTGTGAAGTAGTTCCTGCCTAATAAGTACATTTGTAGACGAGATGTCGATTTGAGAGTGTCTCCTCTCGGTGTCTGTGCGTGAGCGACTTGCATAATGAACAGGGTGATAACCATGCTGTGTTTCCTAAGTCCTATAGGGCTGCCGTCGCAGATAAAGAGGGTCTCGCGCTTTGGATGATAGACAATCAGGACTGGTGCTGACGTGATTGCTTTCTTTGAGTTTTCAAATGCGGTTTGTTGCTCATTTACGATCTTCATAGAGGTTCACAACGGCTGATGTATCGTCATAGGTATGCTAACATTTGTAGGAATGATACGAGCTCTTTTCTACTCTATGGTGGCTTATATTATATTGCAGCTTGGATTTGGTCGGGGCACGGTCGCGGATCTTCAGCGTTGAAAGCAGGGCGCTTATATATAAGCGCCCTGGTTGAAAGTGTGCCTATGTTAATCTATTGTCGATTTACCAAATTCACAATTCTTTTCAGTTCACCGCGTAACGAAATTCACACTTCTTTTCAATTCCCTTATGCACTTCTCGCATCGCTTTTCCGATTGAATTTGGTCGCGGCACGGTCGGTAGATCTTCGGCGGTGAAGGTGAGCCCATGGAAATCCATTGTTGGTTTACCAAATTCACACTTCTTTTCAATTCATCGCGTAATAGCTTCATGTTTCGGTAGGTTACTGCCTCAATAATGTTGTGTTCCTGAACTTCTTCTAGACGTTTCTTTAATGGCTATGTTAGTTGGTAATCATTCGTCGTGGTTTGTGCTATGGGTATGGCATTATCTTTCATTGAAATTTTGATCTGGATTTCTTGTCCTTCGCGTATCGTTTTTCCGATTCCTGTAAATCTTTGTTGAAATTTGTCCAGCATCGCATTGAGTTCAGTTTCGGTGATTGGATTTCCAGAGTTCTGTTTTTCACGTTTTTAATATTGTTATTGGGGCTTTTGAGACCGCATTTCTGCAGTTTACCGTCCAATAAATGGAGTCTGATAAATGGAATCAATTTTCCCCCGCTTCTCCAGGTACTTGCAATCTTCTTTTAGTGCTTTGAGTCTGACCGTTGTGTCTCTACGTTCAATTTCTGGTGCATGTTGTAGTTTTGTAATTATCGCGCATGGCTTTACTGTGTATTTTGCGTGTTTAGCATTGTTCTCTGATAGCATCATTTTCGTGTGTTCTGAGTTTAGCGTATTAGTCGGCGAGTCTTTCATATGTATGTCTTATATTTGAGTTCACTGAGTTGAAATCTAGCGATGTCTTGGTTTTGTTTCGGAATAAAGTTTTGGTCTATTTTCCGTATAAGGACTTTGTATGCATCATCGCTTTCCTCGCTTGTTGGGTCAAAAGAACGTCGTCGATATCGAGTAAATCTTGGCCACCATGAATTGATAATCCGTCTTTTTTACTGTCGGAATCTGTAATACCAAAGAAGCGAAAACGTCTGTCGATTCCCTTTTTTGTATTTTTGCTAGCACACAGCGGTGTCATTGTCGTTGTTTGCTTGTTTTACGAACGGTTTAATCGCTAAATTCCGATGTATTGGATTGTTACCATGGAAACTGAAAGGTTCAAATCCTCGTCGCAAATGTACAGAATGTAGTGTTTTAATGCACGCAATAATACATTAATTTGAATCACACAATGTTTTTATGTTATATTTGTTGCCAATATTTCTTGTTATCGCTTACAAAAAAATATTTTATAAGGAGCGCCGCCCTCAAATAAGCGCCGTATCCGTAATTACTAAAATTTAAAGAGCGCTGCGGCGATTAAACGACTTAATACGGTATATCTAGCTAAGTAATCATTGTCATATGTGCGGGATTAGATTACGATTGCGTGGACTTTGATCAGTCATTCTTCATTCAGTCTGGTTCCTTTAGTCCTTCCAGGTATCCACTTATCCCCTAACCATAGTTCTCGCTAACAGTTAACTCCTTTCCAAAATGTCAGGTGAACTAATAAAATATGTGCAGACACGGCGCAACGAGTGTATCAATGAAACATAGTTTTCGTGCAGAAATGATGTGGCTGACTGGATATATTCATTTATTTCATTGACTCAGTTGTCCAATTACAAATATTGTTGAAAAGGTCGCTATAATCACGTCCAACTGTTGCAATTGATATATCTCAGCAAATTAGAACATTACCACTGTTGATAAGGAGGAAAGTCATTCGTGAAAAGTCGAATGATCTGATTCTCGGTGAAAGCTGCCCACATAAACAGCTGCTTCCTAATTTTCATTTTCTCACAATTAGTGGCACCCAAATCTAGTACTAAGTTGCGAATACGATCACAATGAAAGAATTCGTCAATATGTAGGTATTGATCAGATATTTGTATCCCATGTTCCGAGTCATCGGTTTGTACTTTAACAATAAACTGTTCTCTACTTTTTGGAGGTGAACCAACTTCTGGAAGACTACGAAGACATGCGTTTGGCGGCGAAAGGGGATAGCTTAATAAAACACTATATCTTTCAAGGAAGGTCGGGCAAACTTGTTTATGGAAACGTTCCCAATGGCTCTTTTGGCACAGAGATCCACAATATCCCGTTGTGTAGCACTTTTCGCATTTTTGCAAGGTGGCTTCCTTTTTACAATGCGAGCAAAACCTCTGCCAACTTTGGATTGTAGATATGCAATTGGGTTGTTCATCTAACTCTTTATTTCCAAGGGTTGTGTTGTCGTTACACTGGGCACGAACTAGTGTGTTTTGCAGTCGTTGTGGCAAAGGTTGATCTGCCGGCAGCAACCCGAGCACTGGATATACTTTTCTGGGGAAAAACGTATTCACATCAACATCATTCAAGTGCTGCAAAATACCTGGTCCGCCATTATTGTATACTGTATTGGAATCAACAACAGGTAGCTGGTAGCCTGGAGCACGCAAACCAATACGCATACCTCCAACTCCGTTACGATTCACTTGGTTTTTAGAAATACGACAATAGGAGTTGCTTTGAATCCATACACCCCACCAACTGTTCTCGAAGACGTTATTTCCACAAATGTCTGCGGTCGAATCAAAAACAAATATCCCAAAGGTGTTATTATGGAAGATGATATTATTTTTGAGAAAAACATTAACACTTTCATCACGGTAATTATGAACACAGTAAACTCCTTCACGTTCACTATTATTAACTTGGCTATTACTCAAGATGCACTTTTTAGCTCCAGGGCCAATTTCTAAGCCTTTGTGATTATGGTGCATGTTAACATTCCTTGCTAATAAAGTACCACTTTTGCGCACTTGTAGTGCAGCCTTTTTGTTTCCATAAAATGTGCAATTCTCAACATTTACGGAACCGTGAACACATTGAAGCCCTCCGGCATTACAATTCTTGAACTCGCAATTCTCAACGGTTGTTACTCCGGCTGTATCAAGCGAAGCGTATTTTTCATTGTGGCTAGTAAAAGAACAATTTTGAAAAGCAACCTTAGAATTATCCTGACAATGGCAATGGCCCTTATCGAATACAAATTCCAGGTTAGCAAAGGCGCATCTACCCACGACACGAGCACTTGAAGAACCTACAAAATTGACTTTTACTTTTGACATGTCTGAACTCTTCTCGTCAAATCCAAGTACAATACAGTCCTGAAAAGAAACATCTTGTGATATGTCATACGTGCCTGGACGAAGAAAGATGACTCTTTTATCCACAACAGGCTCTAGTACATCTATGCGGTTCGAGGGATCCTTAATGCATTGCTTCAAATAGGAAAATTCTTCAAATAGCTTGTATTCAGTAAAAACGTCTGGATACAGGATATATGTTTGACAAGCAGCAAATTCAGCACCCAACTCGTCATTTAAACCATGTAACGCTAAAGCTTTCCTGGCATAACCTTCCCAGCAGTTTGGGCGCTTGGATATGTAAGCTTTTGCATCTTCCAGGGCATTGTGGTAACGGTCAAGCATTATATAGGCTTCTGCCCGATTGGAGAAGAATCTTGGATCAAGAAACTTTGATTTCTCTTTCTGTTTCATAGCACTAGAGTACACATCGACAGCTTCTTGATACCGTCCTTCACGAAACAAACTATTTCCTTCCTCGCGCAATTTCTCGAATTCCAGGGCCTCCACTTCAATAGAAGAATCTACACATTGCTCAGCATTACCTGAAGGAAGCGCAGGAGCTGGTGCTTTAGAACAATATTGTACGTGTCTTCGAATAGATTCAGGCAGTGGGACGATATGAGGAAAGAAATAGTTATAAGTGTGAGATAACTCACTTTCACCTTCTGGAATCCAGTCCAGAATTTTAACCGCAAAATTCATAGTCTGCACAGCCTCTTCGTGCCTGTAGAACACACTCAAATAAAGGGCATATTGGTAAACGATTTGAGCCGTCTCTGGCAAAAACACCGTCCTTTCTGCATAGTTGCACCGGTCTAGGAATATGTATTTCAGATTTTTCTCGATTTCTCCAGCATGCATGCAAAGTGTTCTCCACATGTAAAACAATGAAGGAGTAGGGTTGTCAGCAACACCTGACAATATTTTGTCAGGGGAATATGATTGCGAGAAGCCATATTGCAATAACCGCACGGCATCAAGAAAACTTTCTTCTTGTTCACTAGGAGTAAGGCTTTTTTTAATGAAGTCCAGAACCAAACGATGGACTTGCAAACATCGGTAACTGGATTGCTTGAAGAGTGAAAAATCCGTCAGCAACTTCAAAATTTGGTATCGACACAACGACGTTCCCAAGAAATTGCGAAACTGATCATCCTTGACGGTTGGCTCACCAACATTGATTAATTCTTCCTGAATTTGGTCAGGGTTGAAAAACACACACGCATTTAAAAATCGTATTGCGTTTCTACCTTCACTGTTCTGCTTAATATAATCAATATTGAGACACCATGTCGTTTGGACAGCTAGTCGTTCTGGAGAAGAATACTCCGACACGGGATTGGTAGGTTGCTGATTTAAAAGAGCAAGACGCTGTGCTTTGTAAGATTCAAGATACGAGGATAATGAACATCCCAGTGACTTAATGTAGGCAGCTGCTTGTTCAAGAGCTAGTGGTAAACCATCAAGTTTTTCAAAAAGTTTATATGCTGCGGCCTCGGTATCTTCATTACGTGAAATACCCGTTCTGTTAAATAAAAACTCCTTTGAATCATCGGCATTGAAACATTGGAGCTCCAGACAAAAACTGTCTCTAAACGCTTGTACCTCGTCAACCAACGTACTTGGTTTTCTTCTAGTTGTGACAATAATATGGCCATTACAATTTTTTTGCCAAAAACCAGACAACAGCTTCTGCACGCTGGGGGACAGTTGTAACTCGTCCATATCGTCAATAACGAGCAACCATGGTTTTTGAATACGAGATACTCGATCCAGGGTTTGAGACAGCGTCACATCGAAAGAATTAGAAACGAATGTTCCGATGGACGATGCCAAGCTATTAACGGAATTTGCCAACTTTGTCCCATCTTCTCCAGAAAACCAGAAGACGCCTCCTTGGTAATGGTTTTTCATACGATGAGCGTACTCTACTACCAGACTTGTTTTACCACTTCCTCCTAGTCCGCAAATTGCCGCTTTTCTTGCTGAAGATTGATGAAATTGTTCATCGTTCTTGAGAATTACTTCGATTTCTTCGATTTGGCGTGTTCGACCAGTAAACCACGAGAATGTATCCGGGGCTTGAAAAACATACACGTCTTCTTTGTCACTTTTCACCAAAAATTTACTACGCAGTTCTTCAATATCTCGACAACTGGAAATGTACCTGTTCAGCAGGTAATTTTGACTTGCGCATAGCTCTTGCACTTTTAACTCAGTAATAGCTTGACTTTCCTTCAAATTGTCAATTTCTTCCTTTAAGGAAGAATTGACAGCAGCAAGTCGTTCCAATACACATTCCTAAAAAGATTATAATTGTACAGTATTAATGGTTGACAACGCAAGTAAGTATTATTATATATTAGGGATGACGACGTGACAGAGATAGCAGATAAAATATGTACGAGCTATTTCGAAAACAACCATGCAATGACACTCAGATGACTCAGAGGTAATCTGCACTAGCATTGGACTTTTTATAAAGCATACCGTTATTAGGCTTTGAAACAACAACAACAATTTTGTTTTGTGCCAGGCATAATAATTACAATCAATATAAATATTAAAATAGAAATATTATGACACCAGTTGCCTAAAAAACCAGAAGGGCTAATAAGACAGACAACCGTTAAAATTTATCTTATTCCGTATAAGGAATTATATCATGATTTT